CCCCAAAACCCCAAAACCCCATCTAGATTGATTTTTTTGCTAATTTGAAGAGTAATGAAATTAAGTTTAAATGATAATTTAATCAATTAATAGGTTTTAATCATTTTTATTAAATTGAAGTATTTTATAATTCTTTCATTCCCAACTCTCTTTCTCTACTTATGAAGATAAATATTAAGAGATATCATTATCTTATTAAAACGTTTTTTCTATATTAGCAATAGCAGAATCAGACTAAGAGCTAGAAAATTTATCAGATTTTTTTTTACTTGGTTTATTAGAGCTTTCAAACTTTTCTGTCTCTAATTATTGTTCAAGCTAGAATAAACTTGAAGAATGATAGCTCTGATAGAGTTTCAATTAAGAATCTTCTTACTATTGATTTTCACTTTTTACATCTAGTTCTTAATCATTAATAATGCTTTAACTATCTTCTATTAAATTATCTTGAAATTTATTTTATTCAGTAGCTTTATCTTCTGAATTAATATTCTTATCATCATCTAAATCTTTTATTTCCTCATCAGAAGATACTTTAAATTCCATTTAGTTATCATAATTAGTTTAATTCTACTTCTCTTCATCAGATTCATCAACAATAAGAAAATCCTCTTTATCTTATTTCATGCAGTTATTGAATTAGGATCTTTTTCTTGAATTGAGTGTAATTATTCTTTATTCAACAATCTAATTATCTTTATCTTTTGCATTTTAACTAGAGCCATTTCTACGACTAATTGGAGTTTTCTTCAAATTATTTATAGCACCAGATTATTTCTTACTTCCAAGACTTTTCCTAGCTTTACTTAACTTTTTACTTATGATGATTTTACCAGCAGTTTTTTAATGTTTTAATTGACTAACTACTGACTAGATTTCATTCATAGTCTATATTCTCTCTAGATTATCATCATTTTTATCTTCGTCATAAGTTTCCAATTGGTATCTTTAATAATCACTTCTAATTGAATTGTCATCAAAGTCATATTGATTTTAACTATCCTATGATGTTTCAAGTAGTTTCTTTTTAGTTTAGTTTAGATTATCTTTTTCTTGGTATATCTAAGACTATAAATTGGAAGTCTAAAAAGATGATTATTTGCTGGCCTTCTCAATTTCAGTTCCAATTTTAGCTACTTTATTTGTCTAATTTTATTTGAAATTTTTCACAAAAAATTATTGCAGATTAGAATATGCTTTATCTAACTTGAAAGATCCAAATTTTTAAGCAGGTATAGACTAATTTTTACATTAGTCCTAAAGAAAATGTTTACTTGAGCGAGATGAATGCATCATCTTTGAACTTATGATCATTACTTCTTTTATATGGATTAGACTACAAGGATTTGTCTATTTTGAGTAAACCATTTTTACTACTTTACTTCTACTAAGAATAGAGTGAATGTGTTTTCTTAGAAGAGATTGAATCTTTTTTTGTAAAACTTATATCAACCTACTTTCCTTTTTATGAATCACTAGCTTCACTTTAAGTATCAATGTCAATATCTTAGTAGTTAGATTATTGACTAAAGGTGCTCTATTTTTTCAGTTTGTTACTTACAAAGCTCTGCATTTTTCCTTATTACTTTTATTTTTTTAAAGAATTCTATCTAATGGATCCCTAACCATCAGTTTTTATACTCGTTTATCTCTTTAATAAACCTATATAATTTAGGAAGTTTTTTTCTTCTAAATGAGTCTAAAATCTTTGCATTGTAGAAGCATTTAGTACAATGGCACCACTATAATAACGATTCTTTAAATGCTTGATAATTTTATAGTATTCTTATTCACACTTATTTATTTCTCCTTTAAACTCATAGTCATTTAATTCTTATTCAAGTTTGTTTCGATTCCAGCAAAGGCAGAGGAATAGATATATTTTTGAGCAATTCTTCCTAAATTTAGCTCTCATTTCCCCGAACATCTTGATTCCCCAAATTATAAAGAAAAGAATGTTTGAAAGCAATATAAAGGAGAAGAAGAATTTTTTCATAAAATCAGACAAATATAACGACCCTCTTGAATATTAGGGATTACTTTCTATCCATGCTTTAGGTTTATCAAGAATGAAAAATAAGCCACAATAGACAGTGATCATCGATGTGATTAAAGAAAGTGTTTCAAGGTCGTTTAATGTGCTAGTTTAAAACGGTTTTTTTTGAAAGTTAAATAGCAAGAAACTATAGAGCAAGTTAATATTCTAAAATAAAGTCTTACCATATTTAAATGAAGAACATCATTAATGCTTGAGATATGATTCCAAAGTTGCTTATAAAGACTGCTATGAAGATTATAATGATTTTCCTATACATTATAACTATTTCCCAATAGTAAAATTCCTTTTTAAATCCTCTGTAGAGAAACCCATATTTATCCTTTGTAATTTGATGCTCAAGTCTTTTCCTATGTTTTATTAAAATTGAGAATGCGAAAAATGGAATTCCCAAACCCCACACCAAAATACTTGGAAACGCTACTAGGTAACTCCAGAATTCATGCTAACTTTCCCAGCAGATCACCCACAAATCTTCTAATAATCTTTCTTAACCTTCTATCGTTTTACATTTGAAAGCATAGAACATGTACTAAATTATACTTGGATGAGCTAAGAATAAAACAATTACCAGGCTTGACATAATTTTACTTCTCTTATTCGTAACACTTTTCTTTACATAACCAATAAAATTCCAGCTGCAGTAACAGCCAATAGCTAATAGGAATGGAAGCAAAGCAACAAGAATCATTTTTTAAAAGAATATTCTTATACCTTTTTGAATTTGTTCTGTATTACTTGAACTTGAAGTTCTATCATCTAAGAAACAATCAACGCTAAATATTTAAGTTGAAAATGTTGCAACTTTTTTAGTTTGACTAAAGAAATCTAGTATTTATTGAGACCAGTGAAAATCCATAGAAGCAGTAACCATGATTAATTGGAAATGATTTAGTAGAATTTTCATGAAAATGCTTACAACATTACTTTTATCCATTGCACCAGATAAGGTAGTCCTTATAACAAAGATAACTACAACTAAAATAACTAGAATAATAGCTGATAATCTCAAAATATTCAGAAATTTCTCTGGACATTCTATGCACTTGAAGTCTCCATCTCTAGAATAGCCAAATGTGCATTTAGAGCATAATATTCCTTAATATCCTTACGCACACTCACCTAAGGAATTGTTTAAAGGTTCTACCATTCCAAGACAAGCCTGATCAAATAAGCATTCGACAAAAGTTGATGAGGTATTGCTCATTCTCCAAAATCCTGGTAAAGGACCAATATTAGATCCACCTCTACAAATAGCTTTATCACTTGGGCATGCTTAGCAAAAGCCAGGCTCAGTCATTTTAACTAAGGAATATCCATTTTGACATTCCTAGCATTTACCTGATACTGTCAATTATTCTCCAATTTCGCATTCTCTTAATCCAATATTTAACTCTAGCTTAGTATCAATCTTATTTGATTTAGCCAAATATGATATGACTGATTATTTACTAATATCTATTGCGTCTGTTTAGAAACTAAGCGAGTAATTTCTGCCTGGAGTGCCTGTGAATTGAGCGTTTTAAATCACAGCAATGCCACCAGTTGACTGGAAATCGGTTGTACCCTCAAGCACTGGTGGATATTTCAAATCTTAATCATTTAGATTTACAGTGGATATTTGAACTCTAACTTTACTTTCAAAGTCTGATCCAACTATCTATCCATATTAATCAACCAAAGCAATGTATATTTTGGGAATTTCCCCACCACTCCTTAAGGATTTAACATCTGCATTAGTAATTTACTCAGTATTCTCTGAAGTATAAATCTACCTACTATCGAAATCTCTATAGCTTTTTAAACCCAGTTTTATCATTTGATATTGATATATCTCTTAAGAAACAATAGTTATTCTTTAAGGAAAACTAGCTATATTATCACCGTATTAATTAGCATGATTTTTTTCAAACTTAATTTAAATTTCCTAATAGTTAGGCTCAATTTAATCCCAGCATATTGCACCACCCTAAACTTCAGCTTAGTTCTGCTCAAATATATTTTATCCTGTTAAATCTAATCTACAATTTCCAGAACTCGAGCTACAGGTAAAGCAAATAGCTCCACCAGATCCCTAATTTTTTAGAGTATAGCTGTAGCCTGTTAAAGCATAGTTCATCGAAAATTTTGTACTTATGATTTAAACAGATTATGGATTCTCAAAGACGATAGCTCCTCCTTTGTAAGCAGAGCAAAACTTAAACACTGAATTTTCGATGATAAATTTACCGCTTTTTTCTTTATCACTACTTTCTTTATTAATGTCAGATTCGTATATATATATTGCTCCTCCTTCAATTCCCCTTAGATTATTCATTAAAGATTTTGATAGTTTTACTCCGCTGCATTAATTACAATTGATTCCAGCCCCATTTTTAAGATTAATAGCTGGTTCATCTGCTTAGATACTCAGAGAATCGGCGAGCAAGTATGCTTATTCAATATATATTGAGTTTTACGAATACTTCTTTGAAATCTTTACATTATTTAAAGTCACAACATTTTCAGAGTTAGAAATATACAAATCCTCTCCCATTTCAATAGCCTAATTATTAGTAAATTCAGTATCATTTCCAATGTAAATACTTTCAAAGCCAGATGCATAAATAGCTCCACCATTTGAAGCATAATTGTTCATGAATCTAGATTCTTGAATATTAATATAACTGTTTCCTGATATATAAATTGAACCACCATTACTTGAGACACCCCCATAAAATCTAGTTTTCACAATATCAATTGAAACATCGAAAATCAAGAAAATAAAAGTACCTGTTGTTTGCTCATTTTTAATCTAAATTAAATTAGGATCTTTATAATTTTAGTAAAAATCACAACCGCTTATAGTAATTTTACTGAATCCACTTAAAATATTTTTTGATCTTTAGCTGGCTTAGTTGTTATGAAATTAAGTATTTTCAATCCAGATGGTTGAATACATAATTGAAATTAAATTTCTTTGAGATTTATTGTCTTCAAAAATGCTATTCTTAATCGTTACATTTGCTGAAGCTCTAGATCTTAGAATCTCAATAGCAGAGTTTTCTGTAGCTTCATTCTCATAGAATTCTGTCTGATCGATTTAAAGTATAGAAGAGGTAGAAAGGTAAATGGCTCCACTTGTTATTTATGCATAATTTTACTTAATCAAACATTTGATTAGAGATAGAGAGGACTCGGATGCCACATATATCGCCCCTCCTGTCATAGCTTAGTTATTTAGGAACTTGGACTATATGAATGTTGCATTAGATTACTAAATATTAATAGCCCCTCCATATAATCCTGCATTATCTTGGAACACAGAATTAAAATCTGTAAAGTTTGATTTAACCAAGTTGATAACTCCAGCAGAGGAACTTATCCCACATTAAATAAATTTGTTATTAATTGATGTGATATTTTTAGCATTGCTTATGCTTAAATATCCTTTTGCTCGAGTAAGTATAGATTAAGATGATAAGTCATTACGAAGACTTTGATAGGTGTTGCCATTATTACAAAGGAAAATAGTATTAGTAATTTCCATTGTTATGTCAGTAGAAGTGCTCGTTATAAATCCTCCATCAGGGGAATTGAATCCCTCAAATTTAGAATTGTTGATTATTAGAGATTTTAAGTTGAATGTATAAAGAATTCCTCCCTCTAAGGATGATGATGTATTTTAGGCAGATATATTAATCATATTTAAAACCAAGTTTGAATTGTCACTAAATATCAATCCTCCCCTGCTAGCTTAGTTTCTAAGTATCTGAAATGAATTAGAAAAGATAAGGCTAGCTAATTGATTATCATCTTATCTTGATCTTTCTAGGAATATTAGGCCACCTTGAACTATAATTAAAGTTAAATTAAGATTTATATATTAAATACCTGCTAAGTTGTCTATAGCTTTAACACTATTTAAGATTGAAGTGACATTACTGTCAAAGTATAATGCTCCACCATTAGATAAGGCTATGTTTTGAATGAATGTTGTATTCTCTAAATTGCATTTGCTACTATAACAACTTAAAGCACCTCCTTAAATCGCTCCATTATATTCAAAAATTGAATTATTATCAAAGTAGGTAGAAAATTTTATAATTATAGGGGAACCTACTTGATTACAATACCTAACTTCTAGATTTTATGTCTTTAAATAGCCTGGAGAATTTGTAAAATATATGAGTCCATTTTGATTTCCAGAATAGTTTGAGGCCACTGATTATTTATCTGAGCATTAAATAAGAGTATCTTATATGGTTATAGATGTATTTTAATTTTCTGAAGATATTAATCCAACATTTCCATTAGAACTTATTCCTTTAATCGAATTTTACTTATTTCCTTCTTTAGTGATTATTATTTATCCTAAGTATTAATTTATATAGAGCAAGACAGCTGAATCAGAAGATCTTATATCTTCACAATATATACCTTAAATTCTAAAATAAGGCATAAGGTTACTAGTGTTTAGATAAATAATAGATCCCTTAGCTATTGATGAAATATTTTTAGCAAAAAGATTTGTGATACTAATATTTCTTGGTACTGTTCCAATCAGTAATTTGATAGCACCCTCACCTAATTGTTTAATGTTGCTGAGAAAGATGTTCTTCATAGTGATTTGTGAACCTTAATCTTAAATAAATGATTCCTTGATACCCTCAACATCATTGACATTGATATTTTCTAGTTATACATCATTTATTCGATAAGTAAAGAGACATCCACCTTGAAATATATTTTTAAAAGTACTATTGATAATGCTTAAAGATGTGATAGGTCCTAATGTTGGTGTGGAAATTGCATATTATCCTAAAGTACAATTTTGAATGGTCAAATTCCTAAAAATAGCCAATGGAATGTAATTAAGCTCAATTACACTACTCATTGTGAACTACTAGTCATATGTAGAAATCTTTAACTAAAGCATTCTTTTTTGGTTAAATTAAGAATAATATTAGTCTCTGCAGGTTAAAACTGTATTGCTTATTGACAATTATTTCATGTTAGCTACTTTCAAAAAAGAGGATGGAAATCCAAAGAAATTAATCCCATTTAAGCGATTTATTGTTAATGTATTAATATTTGGAGCGTATATTGCACCATTTATGGGAGCAATAGTCAAGTTGAAATAAACATCTTAAATGATAACATCTAAGTATTTATTGCTAAAGTACCCTAGACTTCCATACTAAGATGAAGTATTATAGATAGTTATATTTTGTAAAGAAACTGTTAAATTTGAGCTTGGAGGTTTGGTGCCATAGCTTGAAGGATACTCTTAAAATACAAAGAAACCATAAAAGTAAGAAGATGCATTAATCACAGAAAGGTTAGAAATATAAATATTTCCGGATTATATTTCAACAATATATCCAGAACCATCGTAAGCAGCTTGCGTTTCTTGAATTTAAATAGAATTTATTGTTGATTCTTGCTACTGGGATGAATAAAATGATCCTCCTTGGACGGCGTAGTTAGATCTATAAATAGTATTATTTTCTACTAGACTAGTATTTATCAAGGATATGGCTCCTCCAGAAAAAGGAAAGTAGCAATTTGAAAAATTATTGCTGTTAAGTGATAATAGTTTGCCATTTTCTATTAATAGTGCTCCAAATGTTCTAGCATAATTAAATGTAGATGAAATCGAAATTCTGTCAAATTTCTTTACATTTTAATCAAAATTAGAGTTAGAGATGTAAACTATGATACCTCTAGATCTTATAGCTGCAAAAGAACCATTTGTTGAGTTAAATAGCATAAAGTTAGAATTCGATATCTAGAGTTTATCGGCTTATGTAACATGTATTAGTCCTCCATATGAAGCAGAGGTTGGCATCACATAACTGTGAAATTGACTTTTAACATTTTCAATGTAAATCTCAGAGTAATTTGCATTGATATAATAGCATCCACCTGATCTTAACGCTTAAGTGAAGTTAAACATCCCATCATTTACTATCAAATAAGGATATAAAGTATGTTAAAAACTCAGACCTAAACTATCTTTGCTATCGATTTCTGATGAATTTTTGTTAATTGCTGAATCGTTTGAGTAAAAATGCACAAATCCTCCATCAAGATATGCAGAACTATTCCTCACACTAATATTAAAAAGATTGATTTAAGATATTTGTTCAGCAAAAATTGATCCTCCAGAGTTTGCGAAATTATTCTGAAAGGATGCTGTTTAAATATTCATTTTGCAATACTTGCAATAAATTACACCCCCTTGTTATGCTGAATTATAACTATAGGTTGAATTTTATGAGTCATAAAATGTGGTATTTTCTAAGTAATAAGCGCCACCTTAAGCTGATTGATAACAATTTCTGATTTAATTTGCTTAAGAGGATACTAAATTAGCATTTTATATGAAAATTGGAGTTTTCCTAGTGGGTTAAAAAAGGTTTGTAATAACAGGAATTGTTCTTAAATATTCTAAAGTGACATACTTATTATCAAATGGCTTTTATAGACAGTCTATGGTGATCTAAGATATATTTATTGATGTATTACCAATTGAGTGAATAACTGTTCCTGCTATTACATTGAATATACTAGCTCCTTTCAAGGATATTTATTTTGCTTATGAAAGATATAGCAATGAGCCTAACTTTGATGAGACATTGACCACTGTCAAATTTCCTGATAGATTTACAAAAAGATTTGGATTATTACCCCAAACCAATCCGCCATTCCCATTGATATTTGTTACGTTTGAGACGCTGACAATATTTCTAATTGTTAAGATTTATAAATCCTAGCTCTCCTGAAGATTAATAATAGAGCCATTATTTGCTGAAATATTAGTATATTTTACTCCTGAGATTATTATATTTCTAGAATTGATACTATATACTCCCCCATTTATTGCAGAAATATTAGTATAATTAGAGTTAATGTCTTAGAAGAAATTGCTTTAACCTATTTCAATTATTGATGCTTTTTAGGATGTAAAGCAATTCGAGAATTTATTTCCAATTATATTTATGTTGGTAGCATTATCAATTTTTATCAAACTTTTTGAGGAGATTTTTTAACTTAAAATACTGATGTTTGAGTTAATTATATTAACCTAATATGCTTGCTTGATATTTACAAATGATGAGTCCATATTCATTTCCACCGATAAGGACATATTATCTATCGTGAAATTCATTAATGGATTATTCAACTCTAAGTATTCCTTCAAATATTCATAGTCGGCTATTGTTTGAATCTTAAGATTAAAATTTTTGAGTGTAAGCTATTAATAATCATCATTAAAATTATTTGTGATTTCTCCATTTTGTATGGATTATTCTAGTTTTCTATTTTTATAGACTAATCTTGTACTAAGATGATCAATATCAATATCACCCTTTAGAACTCAGTCATCATTTTTAGTTATTGCTTTATAGTTTGGATTTTGATCTAAGTGAAATTGCGTTGATGTGTTCTGCTAAGTCTAAGAATTACAGGGCGAATAAACGCTATAAAGAATTTGTTATTAATCTTATTTGGAACTGAATTTGCAAAGATAATTTAATTCTTCTGTAGCTGGACTTTAATAAAGCTAAGATTACAGACTTTTTATCAGATTTTACTATTGATTTTTAGGAAGTGTTATAGATAAATTTGAGTAATCAAGAAATTCATTTACTAAGCTGATGTTTTAAAGAATTTTGCGACAGCCTTGCATCTTATTCAAATATTCTACTTAAGTTAATGATATTGTATAGATTTACCTTTTTCACATTAGAATTCTTCTACAGTTTATCCTTTAATTCCATCTTGATTGAATTAAGTACTCTTAATGCATATTCTGTCTCTTTAAAATGATGATGCATGAATACTAGAAAGGAGTAAAAAAGTTGATGATAAAACTAGAAGACTTTGCATGATCAAAATGAGTGTAGTAAATCAGCTTTTGAATAGGTTGTTTATAATTAATTATACAAATTAAAATTTTAAATATCAAAATACGCATCAATACTTCTCTTTATCTTTATTCTAGGGGTTTTGGGGTTTTGGGGTTTTGGGGTTTTGGGG